CAATTCCAATCCTGTCAAAATGGTAGCGAAACTGGTATTGGTTGTAGGAATCCTGCAGTTTAACAATGTGCTTTCACATTTCTGGCCTGGCAATCAGCACATCCCTTGACGTATTTTCTACATCACGTAGTAGATTATCCAGTAATACCTATTTTTAATCTTGTGGTAGGTTTTTGTTATCCCAGATGTCCTGACATCGGATCATTATGATTTGTAATATAATATTCTTCCTTTAGATGATTGGGTTTACCACCAGTTTTGCATCTCCCTTCCGTCGTGGCGTTTCTTCTAAATTAACACATTTATCCTGAATAATAAAATTCTTTGCTCTTCTTTCGCGTCCCACGCTGACTTCTTCCGGTTTAAGTGACGGCGTTATAATTTCTCGTACCTTTTGATCTTCTTGTTGTTCTTTTGCGATGTCGTCAGCTTCTAGAAATTAGGTATATCCAATAAGTCTTCGGTCTTCTTCCTCGTTGGTTCGTCTACTGGGTTCTTCGAGATAAAAACAGTCGGGCATCTCGGTGAGCTGATCTGCTTTATTGCACTACCGTAACAATCAAATTTGATAACTTAATGCACCATCGAGCTAATTTTCCCGTTGGATTCTTAAGTGTCTTTAAAAAAGCAAATCGCGTTGTGGTCTGTTATTATTGTAATAGGACGTCCGTGATATAATGACGTAATGCGTTAAACTCCATACATACTGCAAGACATTCCAAGGTCGCGAAGAATGAGGTAATCTTCTCTGCTTCGTTGAGTGATCGAGATATGTACGCTATTGGATGCATATCCCCTTCGTGCTCCTGCAGTAACCCCTGCCGACTCTAACCCTGAGGCATCAACATGTAAGTTCCTTGCGGCTTCGGGTCAAAGTAGGTTAATACAGGTGCCTTCAGTAGTGCTCCTTTAGCATCTCGAATGCTTGCTGTTGTTCGTCACTCCATTCAAACGGTACATCTTTTTTTGTAATTTGTAAAAGGTCTAGCGATTTGTGAAGAATTATGAATGAATTTACGGTAATAATTGGCTAATCCGAAAAACTTTGAACTTTCTTAACTGTGGTTGTACTGGAAATTTTCGAAATGCACTTAATTTAATCGGTGTCGGGAAATTCCCTCTCCGACACTATGTGTCCCAATAATTTACTTTCATTTTCGCGTACTCACATTTAGATGGTTTAAAGTGTTAATCCTGCTTCTCGAAGACGTTGAAAAGCGTTCCTCAATCGTCGCAATGTTCCTCGAAAGTGTCCGAAAATATGAGAATGTCATCCAGGTATACAATTAACTCCTTCCATTTAAACCTTCAAAAACGTTATCCATGAGCTTCATAAAGGTTTCGGGCATTACAAAGTCCAAAAGGCATTTTTGTAAATTCGTACAACCGTCAGGTGATATAAACGCTGTTTTTTCTTGACTTTCCTGGTCCATCCCACATTCTGCCCAAATCCTGAGAAGAGATCTAGGCATGTGAAATATTTCGCCTGTTTAAATACTGAAAATGTCGTCTATAAGGGTAAAGGAAATTGTTTTTCTTCGTGATTGTGTTAAGTTTCCGTAATCGATACAGATCAAAATCTCCTCCCTTTTTTTTTTCACTAGTATTATGGGTGAGCTGTAGTTCGATTGTGAAGGTACAATAACACATTTTCTAACATTTCCTGAATTTTGATCGTGGATAATTTTTCTTTCCTCTTGCGATACTCGGTACGGCGACTTTTTTAGCGGGTGATGCGTTCCTGTATCTATGTGATGGGTGATCTTATCTGTGAATCCCATTGAATGTGGCTGATTCCGCGAAATGTCATTAAATCTTCCAAAAAGTTTAGACAACTGTTCTTCTGATTCATGTTTAACGTAGGTGAGATATTGTGCGTAATCTTGTTCGTTCTGTTTTATTTATCGCTAAAATTTTAGTATTCTTTTGCCGAGGTTGATACTCATTTCCCCTATCGTCCGTGGTTCGCGAATAGTTGATATTATTACGTACTACTAAATTGAAGTTCCGCAAAATTTTATCATTATCTTTAATGTGGGCTTCATGCTCACAGTTACTGATTTCTTTACTAACAAATTGGGGTTACTTCAAACCAATACTCCCTAATTCGGTGTTTTTTAAATTTGGAGTAACTGTTACTACAGATCCTTTTGGTTTATCCTTTTCTAGGATTACATCATTTGTGAGAATGACTTCCGATTGTCATTCCGACCTACTTTCGTTTCATTTAATTGAAGTTCTAGGTACTTCCATTGTGGTTTAGAAATGGGACCTTGTTTCGTGGTTTCCTTTACTTAAATTAGACTTGATTCCATTAAAATCTATTATGGCCTTTACTTTGCCTAAGGAACGACGTACCTAGAATTAGCGAAACTGCTAGTTTTTTAATAACTAAAACTTTAAACTTTTCGGTATATACTCCTAATGTACTAAAAGCGTAGTTTCCCCTAATACAGGAATTCTAAAATTTCCTGCTGTTTGAAAACAAGTGGGGTCCTTAAGCGGAGTTAAATTTTTTGCAAACTTACGACTAATAACGTTATGATGACTACCTGTATCGATAGTTATATTAGTGGGTATCTTTTAGTTTTCCTCTAACGGTTACGATTTGGTCCGAGTTTAATTGGAACGGAGCATCGATTTAATTACTTCGTAAATCGGTGCGTCCTCCCCCGTTTTTTGACGTTGGCGATTGCGATCTTCGCATTCGATTATCGCCGTAATTGCTATTATTATTGAAATTCTTGTATGCGCCTCCTTATTGGAGAATGTTACCGTCGACGCTGCTGCTGTTCCCCATTTCTTAGACGGCTATTGCATGTGGCTGCCAAGTGTCCTGGGCGGTTACAAGAAAAGCAGATGGGTCTTGCATCCCTTGTTCTTGTTAGTGTTGATGGCCTACCTCTTGTAGCTCGGTTGTAGTTCCATTGTCGATTCTCCCCATTCGTCCTATTAAATTGTTCGTAAGCTGGTCTGTTATACTGTGGCGAAGGTCTCGGTACAGTTGTCGTTGTTGTTGAGGATGTATTGACTGCTCGAGTCGCAACTCGCAATCCCATAGATTATGTAGTTTGCTGTTGCACCACATCTTGGATCCTTGATTCTTGTAACTGTGCTAATTTGAATACGGCTGATTGGAACGAATCGGCGTTTACTTCGTCAGTTGGAGGACAAATTATTATAAATTCGGATCGTAATCCTGGTTGCAATCCTTCTATAAAATAAGTACTGATTTCCGCCATCGGTATTGACGGATTTATTTGGCTCGCGAGTTCCAAGACGTCGTAGTAATACTTTAGTACTAGTTCGTTTAAACCCTGTTTCTTTGACCGCAATTTTTTCTTTGCCTCTAAAGACGATGTTATACCGCCAAAATATTTTTGAAATGATTGTGAGATATCATTCCATGTTTTATTTGCATTGTCCGCGTTTGAAATGAAATCTGTGTACCACGTATGTGCTACTCCTTCTAAAAAGTTGCCAAAATGGGCAATTTTATTCGCTTCACTCCAATGATTAGAATGAGCGCATCTCTCGTATTTTTTCAAAAAGGTTACGCAATTTGATTCTCCCGGTACGAAAGAATCAGGTTGCGTGAATTTGGGAAATACCGGTGTGTTGACCGATTCATTCACTTGCTGAATTGTGGTATTAGGGTGCGCCATAGTAACTACTTGTTCGTTTCTGAATAATACGTTTTGTTGTAAATTATGTTCTGTTGGAATAGGGGTTTTGCGCGTTTCGTTGAGGGTGCTAATATTACCGTATTTTCTGATAAAAATGATTGCTGCGCTGTAATAGGTGACCGTTGTAGCCTATTTGTTGGTGTAAAAGTTTGTTCGTATGGTACTGTACTTTGTGGTTCCGCTGGTGGAATTGCACTTAATTCTGAAGCTACGTTTAGTTGCGCGCTTCGCGTATTATAAGTATGCTTAGGCGTACTTGCCGGCATTTAGCGGTTTTCATATCAGATATGATAAAAGAAATTTAATTATTAATTTAAATGATATTATATTTATGTAAAAGTAGAAAGATTAGGACGGCATTTGTAAAGACATATAAGAACATAAATAATAAACATAGGCAATTATCAATGTACATGGCAGTTTTAATTTTTTATGCGTTCGAGAGAAATAACTAGTGCTGTTTGAGGACAGCAAGTAAAAAAAAATCGGCACCTCCACCATATGTCACACTAGGGGGTTTGGTAGCTCTGGTTCTAACACTCAGCATAGCCAGAGGTGTGTGACTTTCAACCGAAATCAATAAGTCATGTTAAGATGTAGTTATTGAATTATTTATTTAAACATAAAAAATGTACTTACATGTAATCGGTCATTGTATCACTAACTACTGACTCCCTTTGCGCTATATAAGATAACCGGATCGGATCCCGGCCTTAACTAAGAGATATAGCGAAGATAGAAACTAGAGTACTAGTAGGCTATCACCCTTAAATTTTGTTTATTCTGAATTTTAAGGATTTAGTATTTTCTGAAATTGGAAGTGCAGGTGCAAAGATCTCGCCAATTGCTGGACCATCGAAACAGAGTCGAAAGCAATAGAGGCAGAGGAGGCCTTCAGAGGCAGAGGCGACGCAGCCATCAAGGTAATGCGCATCAAAAGCCTATCCAAGCCAAACAGCCCAAGCTAAAACCCTTCCCCCTCTCCCAGAAATTCACTAAGAATAATGAGGCGGCCAAGACAACACGACACAGAGAGAAATCAATTTCTCAAAAGAAGCAAGTATTCTCCAGTGAGCGGCGTACTTAAGCCTTGCAAACAACGAAGAATAGTTTTACACCTAGCTTCAACGAACTTACCGCCCCTTATATTAATCGATGTATACACGGCTAAAAACGAGAAACGTAAAGCCGCTTACAAAGGAGTGTTCCCTCCCTGAATTGCTACGCTAAATTATGGAGCGTTGTCTTCTTTTCTGGATGCGAACTAATAAGGATTAAAGCAGGGTATCGGGATTAGCCATTTCTCACGCAGAGATGCGCGTTTACCAGGCGTTAGAGGATAAAACATTCCACGTGCCTGAACCGATTTTCCTTGCTCTTAAAAGTCTTGGGAAGACGATATCTAAGACGGGAGACACTCTTGTCCCCACCTTTCCAGACATACCAACAACACGAGTAGATGACATCCCCGGAACATTGGGAGTAATAGGCATCGAGAATCATAATGTCTATGAAGAATTGCCAGTAATAGGCCCGACTATCGAGGCTCTACGGCAGCGAGTCAGTGGAGAGAACCCCACAAACGCAAGAGCGTACGGCTCACTTCTTGCTCCACCCGGAACTACCGCTAATGTTAACCTACAAGGCTTTGCTCGACTTAGCTTTTGCAGACGGGAAGCGTTAGCAACACTACACGACCTTGGAATTGAAGAGGACGTTCAATTCCAAAACATACATAATACTGGGATTAGTTACCAGATACTTAACTTTGTATCTGAGTATCTATCGACGACAGAGATATTCAAGCTCTACAATGTCTCAGTATTACAGATGCCGGACACAGGATCCACTGGTCAGCTGATCGCAGCGAGACCCGAGCCAACAGAACTGCTTCCCGATACACGGGCTGGTAACACATATGTTGCCATGCAGTCAATGACAGCCGAATCGGCTATGATGGCCGGAGTTTCAGAAGCGTTTGGACTGAATCAGTTCAAAGAGAATAGTCTTGATGGAGATGAGTGGACCAGAAATGCAAGCTGGTCAGCGTTAAACTTTACGCAAGCTCACCCAGCACCACCCGGATATGACGACAACCGGAATGACAGACGTAATTTGCCGAACAGATACCTAGAGCGAGTGTTCTACGCCGCAGGAGACTGGGCTGGCGATTACCGAAAGATGGTCGTTGATCGACTTGTTCGACAATGATCACGTATTAACACGCAGTAACGGGAAAACCACGAGCGTAGTTAATTGTATATATGCATATAATTGTAATATATGTTTATTGTAATATTATTATACACTAATACCAATGAACCCCTATAGAAGTTTCATTGTTTTAATTTATATTTATGTAATTATTATTGTTATAATTTTATATTTATTTACTAGAATAGTGGCAGTATTTAGTACTTTATGTGACCAATGACAAGATTAATGTAAGTACATTTTATTTATGTTAAATAAATAATTCAAAAACTATCTTAACATGACGTATGTGATTTTCGGTTTTGGAAGTACACACTCTGGCTATGCTGAGTGCTAAAACCAGAGCTACCAACCCCCCTAGTGTGGACACTTATGTTGTGAAAATCAAAACCTTGTGTTTAACAAAACTAAGTCGACATGCTACATTTTTATTTTGTAATTATAAAAGGAACAATATAAGCGTGTCATCTTACTATAATTTACTAATGTGATTTTATACCTTATTGTTATCTTCAAAAGCAAAAGGCAGTATGTCTACATGCTAAACTATTTTTTTTTAGTAAATCGATCTGCTAAAACTTGCGTCCCTGTATCTTCCTTATTAAAAGTCGTATATATACATTGAAAATAGTAACTGATAAAGCTCATTTTTATACTTTTCCAAGCACAAACAGAGCAATAACATAGTAAGTCGAGTTACTAGATTATTTAATTGGACGGCAGAACTGTCCAATTCGACGGAACTTAACTGCCCATTTCGACCTAACCTAATCTCCATCATCTCGACTTACTAATTTTGAAATGCAAAAGGAAAGCAATTAAAAGACATTCGTGAACGGGAACGATTAGGTTGAGTTAGTGTTAAATTACGTTTGGTTAGGTTAGGTTAAGTTAGGTTAGGTTAGATTAGTCGTGGCCCGAGTTCCAGAGCGTTCTGACCGTGCTGCGGGGGTTTTAAAGTGTTGTCGTTAGTTTTTTGTGTGGAAAATTAGTGAGCGGTGCCGCCGTGTGCGCTGTAAAATTACGTTTTGTTTACGGTTCGGGACCTACCGAATTTTGAAGTGAATTATAAAGTGTAAACAAGTGTGGACGTCGCCTGATAAAGCCGGGGGCGGAACGAGTGGAGCTAGCGGGCTCTGCCGGGTGTCGCTGGAAAGCCTTCTTTGTCCTGGATCCAACCCGCACCGGGACGATCCAATCGGATAAAGGGGACGGGAGCTGCAGCCCTATCAAATTTTCGGTGATAACCACTGATAGGGCTGTGGTGGCGCAAGGGATCGGAGGAGAGCGTCGCGACGCGGCCCAGCGGATTCGGGGCATCAAGAGGAGTACATCGGTACCAAACTCGAAGGGGTAACCAACCCCTTTCCGCATCGACTACCTTAGACCACGTGGTTTTCGGTGGCGCAGGGAGCCATCTTACGAGGTAGGACTGCATGCCAAATTAAAGATAATAAGTAGACTAGTGTAAAAAAGTGTGCCCCGTCTCGAGCTAACCAGCGGTTCTCCCGCGATAAGCTAATCAGTTCACCCCAGATTAAACTTTGGGAGGCGCTAGGGGCTCGTAGGAGAGTGCGGTCGAGTCGGGAGGGGTCGCGTTCGACAGGGATTGAGCGGACGACTGTTTTGACACCCCACACGGGGGGGGGGGGAGTCGCACCCCTAAGCGCGCCCTTTTTGGGGGCGCGTTAGATTATAAACGCGCCTGTTAAGGAAAATTCAAATGGATTTGTTTTTAACACAAAAGCCAAGGGATTCTCCCAAAGAAGAAACCAGCAAAGGTAAATCACCCTGAATTGCGGTCCATGAATTTAGCTGGAACGAGCAAGAGGGGCGCTCGGTCCCAACAGAGACCTATACGCCAAAGAGGAAAATGCTGGGAGCGGATATCCAAATGCCCGACCCCAAACGGATTAACACCGCGGCGATGAATAAAAAGGTGGCTCAACTAATCAGCAAGGTCACCGATAACATTGCGAAGCTGGAAAAACTCGTCGCAAAAAACACAGCGAAGGAAATTAAGGACCTTATTCCAATACTAGTCAGCGCAGCGTCGCAGCTGGGGGCTGACGACATTCATGATTTCATCAAAGCCCAACCGGGAACCAGAAGAGCTAACACCGAGGCGCCTCCTACAAACCAAGAGGCAACATGCAGACGATGCAAAGAAACAATCAGGAAAGAAGACATACTCCGAGAGGAAATACAAGAGAAGATAGGAAGATGCGGCAACTTTGAGATGGTGTGGGCCGTGGTGAATACAGATTGGCCAGCAGGGACGAGAAGAAGTCAAATAGCGGAGGAGTCCCAATGGCTCGAAAATGAGATGGTTCTCTTCGGCACCGGAGCCGAGGATAGGGTCAAAGGAAGTATGTGCGACAGACACCCTGAATTACAAAAGGCAATAGGCAATATCCAGGGTTTTAAAGGCGGGATGACTACCTTCAGGAAGTCAGTGGCCGTACTTGATGAGGGAGACGAGAACGAAAGGGACGGAAAGGACACCTTTTTGTTCGCGGCAACTCTGGAAGATAAAAATGAGGAAGAGATGGCCAAGGGTATCTTCGAGAACTTGGAAAAGGCGACCGATAAGCTGTTGGCCAAGAAGCAAAGCAAGGTCAAGATATTCACCCCAAGACACGTGAAAGGGCTAGCGACAAAAATCGCAGAATGCGTGTGCTACAAGAAATCCATTAATTACTGCATAGAGGGACAGCGAAGTAAAACCAAAGAAAACGCCCCTACCCAGGCAAAAACAGACTCGGTAGCCATAATAGTGAAAAATGACAGCACCACCTACGCGAACCTGCTAAAAGGGACCAGGAAAGCACTGGAAGGAAACGAGGAAGTATCTCTTAAAGCCACACATAAAACCCGGGAGGGACACCTAAAAATTATAGTAAACAAGGAAAAAGGAAATATTAAATCCTTTCAGGACAAATTAATAACCGAACTGGGCGAGGGGGCGCAGTGCAGGGTCCGAGACAACACAAGCAGGGCCATCTACTACATTCGAGACATGGACGAAATTTCGACCAGGGAGGACGTGAAGGAGGCTGTCATGAAAATCACCGGGGAAGAAGCCAAGGAGCACATTGAGATATCCGAGCTGAGGACGAACGAGAACGGACGGAGGTCAGCTACGGTGGTGGTTCCCAAAAGTGGACAGAATATGGGTTGGTATCACGCGGTGCCAGATGAAGAAAAGAGTTGAGGTCAACAAATGCCTCATGTGCTGGGGAGTACACGACAAAAGAGGAAAATGTTGCGACCGGGATGCCAAAAACAGATGTCTGAACTGCGGCGAAGAAGGGCACTTTAGGGACAAGTGCACGAACCCAAGAAAATGTTTGATATGCGACAAAGAAGGTCACGCTCCCTGGACCATGGCATGCCCAGAGTACAAAGCGGCCATAAGGGCAGCAGAAAGGAGTAGAAAACCCTCCAGATTGGTTAACCGCGACCGGAATAGTGATTAACTGTGATACACAACCAGTGATATTTTAAACAAATTCAAGTGACTGATCTTTTGTGAGAAACTGTGATACATTTGAGTCCAAACAACTGTGATATACAAAACCTGTCGTTTGTTGCTGTCTTTTAATTTTATACCCATTTTATTAATTGTCCCCCCTTTTAAACGTGTCGATATACAGCCTTGTTTTTAAACTGTTCTTGTTGTTCGTCCCTTATTTTATATAATTTAACATGTTATACACCAACACCGTCCGTCCGATATTCTCCGGGGTGCAGCACACGCTGTACCGGAGTTTATAACTTAGTATAAGTAGGTCCTATGTTGGGTTCTGTATATATAATAATCCTAACTGCGGTGGCCCATATTTATACACACACGATTACAACATGATCAAAGTTATGCAGGCCAATATAAACAACTCAAGGGTGGCCTATGACTTATTAAATCATACCGCCCGCGAGCGAGGCGCAGATCTGCTCATCATATCAGAATGCGGGAAATCCAGACACCCCAACATGTTCAAAGATCGGACAGGGAGGGTAGCGATAGTAGTCATGAATCCAAAAGTGGAAATTAACAAAGTGCAAAGTGGCAACTACGTGTGGATAGATATGAAGGGATTAGTGGTGTGCGGAGTTTATTTTCCCCCTGACGACACGGTGGAGGACTTCGGAGAAAACCTCGACGAAATGATAACAGACCTGCGTGGAAGAGGGAAGTACATAGTGGTCGCGGGCGACGTTAACGCAGCCTCGACTATGTGGGGGTGCGGAAAAACTAATAGAAGAGGAAGCATGATTGAAGAGATGGTCGCGACCATGGACCTGATTGTGGTGAACGAGGGAAACGACCACACATTTGAGAGGGGATCCAGCCGCTCGATCATTGACGTGACAATGGCAAGTGGGAGCGCCAATAACTTCAGTTTCCGAAAGTGGATGGTCGAGAACGAAGAAACGTTGAGTGATCATAAGTATATTAGTTTTAACATCGAAAGTGCCAGACCTAAGCCGCCCAGAGATGAAGTCAAAAAGGGGTGGAACTATAAGAAGATCAACATGGAGAAGTTATGGGAAGCACTGGCAACGGAACAAAGGCCTACTACGCCAGCAGAACTGGATGCTCAGATTCGAAAATTAGCAGATCTATCGATGCCAAAAACATCCTATGGGTCAAATAAACGTAGAACATACTGGTGGAACGCCGATATAGCGGGACTAAGAAATAGCTGTGTAAAAAACAGAAGGAGATGCACCAGGGCCGGAAGAAGAGCGTCACACGAAAATGACAGAGAAGCGGCAGAACTGAGGGCCAGTCGCAGGAAATTGAAGAGCGCAATACAAAAAAGGAAAGAAGAATGCTGGCGCGAGCTCTGCAATCAGATAGAGAGAGAGGTATGGGGCAAGGCGTACAAAATAGTAGTAGGGAAGTTTGGCGCGAGAGAGCAAGCGATTGGATCAGACTCCGAAGCCCAGGAACAGCTGCAGACACTTTTTCCACTAAGAACGAAACCGGAATGGCGGATGACGACGGAGGATCTACAGCCACCAAAGAATATTGACCACAACGAGATCATGGAGGCAGCGAAGATGATGCCAAGGAAAAAAGCTCCAGGGCCGGACGGTTTTCCCGCGGAGTACGTGGCTCTGGTGGCAAAGAGAGCCCCCGAGTTGTTCACCGACGTCTTCGATACAGTTATGAGAGAAGGGGTGTACCCGAAGGTGTGGAAAGAAGCAGATGTGGTTCTAATCCCAAAGAAGGACAGGGGGAAATTTCGGCCAATAGCATTACTAAGTCACCTGGGGAAGTTATTCGAAAGGATAGTGGCGGCGCGAATTAAATCTATATGGAACGCCTCCCCAAACCAGTATGGTTTTGTGAGAGGGAGAGGAACGAAGAAAGCGCTCCAAGACCTGGTAGAGACTGCCAGGACGGCCAAGGCGGGAACGTGGCGGACCAGGGAGGTGGTGTTAATGGCATCCCTGGACGTGCAAAATGCTTTTAACAGTCTGCCCACGGAAGTGATAGTGGGGGCCGTAGAGAGGACGGGAGCTCCGAAGATAATGGTTAAACTTATTTATACATATCTAACAGATCGGACAGTAAACGTGAGGCTACCGTCGGGAAATATATGTCGCATAGAAGTTAACGGAGGCGTCCCGCAGGGCTCAGTATTAGGACCCCTGCTATGGAATATGGTGTATGACGAAGTAGTGAGCATGAGGGTGCCGAGGGGGGTCAAAATAGTCGCCTTCGCGGATGACCTCACCATAGTGGCTACGGACAGGAAATTGGAGGAGGCGAAGCGACAAATGGACAACACCGTAGAAGCAATAGACACAAGGTTGAGCCGGAACAAGCTAAAGTTGGTGGGAGAAAAGTCGAAGGCGGCGGCTATAATAGGAAAACGGAAAATACCCCAGGAAGCCGTGCGAATCGGAGGCGTAGACGTACAGGTGGAGCGGGCTATAGAGATACTGGGCGTCTCAATAGACAGCAATTTAAAATTTGTCAACCACGTAAGAAATCGGGCCGAAAAATCTAAGGCCATGGCGAAGAAGTTACAATGCCTGTTTAGAAACAAAGGGGGGCCAAGTGCAGGAAAGCGAAGGGTTATTAGCACGGCAGTTACCAATTCCATGCTATACGGAGCAGAAGTGTGGGGAAAAGCGGCTACGCTGAGGATCGTAAGAGAAACCTTGGAGAAGGTCCAGAGGATAGTGACCCTGAAAATAGCTTCGGCATATCGAACGGTGAGCAATAAAGATCTCTGCGTCGTGGCCAGCGTAATACCGCTACACATCCAAGCCGAAATGAGAGCAAAAGGGGGCAACAGAGAAGAGGCCCTAGCTCGATGGCAGGAGGAGTGGCGACATAGGGAATCCTGGACTAGCCGGCTAATCCCAGAAGTACAAAAATGGCATAAGAGGAAACATGGAGAAGTACACTACTACCTAACACAATTCCTGACCGGACATGGCGAAAACGCACAATACCTCCATAGGTTCAAAAAGCGTCAAGACGACTTATGTAAGGACTGTGGAGGGAGAGATTCACCAGGACACGCGGTGCTGGAGTGCGAGAGATGGAATCGAAGCAGATGGGCGCTAAGGTTGGAGGTAGGGGACCCAATAGATGAAGACAGCATCATAGACACCATGATCGGTAACGAGAGTAGCTGGAAGAAAATTGATAAATTTATCACACAGGTCGTAAGTACAAGAGAAATAGAGGCCAGGAGAAGAGAACAGTAAGGCCCCCCTCGAGCGGAAGAATACCTCTGGTGATACCCGCTACGTGGAATTCTGGGGGAAGTGGTTTAGTGGGTGCAGGCCCCACACTACCTCAGCCATAGATTCAGGCTGAGGTGTGCGATAGGCATTCCACCATCCCAAAAAAAAAAAAAAGGTTAGGTTAGATTAGGTTAGGTTAAGTTCAAAGTTCAATATCAAGTTCAAAGTAAAATGGTTAGGTTAGGTTAAGTTCAAAGTTCAAGATCAAGTTCAAAGTAAAAAAATTCGTTTTAACTCAATAACACATCTCGATCTAACCTAACTGATGAGAGGACAAATTTTGAAATGCAAAAGGAAACCAATTAAAAGACATTCGTGAACGTGAACGATTAAGTTGAGTTAGTGTTAAGTTACGTTTGGTTAGGTTAGGTAGCCGAGCAGCTAAAGCACGAGCTCAGAAGGGTCTGTAGCGCAACCATGCCAGCTAGGAAGCCGAGAAGAAGGTCAGTATATTGGTGGAGTACCGAAATAGAAGAACTCCGAAGATCATGGGTCGCTAAGAGACGTGCGGTGACCAGGGCGAAGAAGGCCGGAAGACCGCTGACAGACGTAATCACCGAACTCAAAATAGCGAGAAAACTTACAAAGAAGGCGATTGACAAGAACAAGAAGAGGTGCTGGCAAAGACTGTGTACGGAAATTGATAATGACGTGTGGGGTAAAGGGTACAAAATAGCAACCAAAAAATTTAAAAGACGAGAATACCCCTTGGGGTGGAATGATACCAAGATGAAAGAAACTATTACAAACCTTTTCCCGAAACGAGAAATACTGGAATTAACCGAGAACCAAAGTACCGAGCATCCTAAAGTAGACATTCAGGAGGTGATTGCTGCGGCGCGGGAACTCCCGAACAACAAAGCCTCGGGACCAGATATGGTGCCAGCAGTTATTGTAAAGCGACTTGCACTTAAGAAACCGGAAATCTGGGAGAAGCTAGCAAATCTTTACTTTCAAAGGGGGCAGTACCCGGTAGCTTGGAAAAGCTGCAGGCTGGTGTTAATACCCAAAAACGATTAGGCATATAGACCAATTAGCCTAATTGACTTCTCGGGTAAGATATATGAAAAAATAATCAAGAACAGATTGGAGGCTGGTAATCAAGAACAGATTGGAGGCTGTGATAGAATAATCAGTTCGGGTTCCGTAAAGGGAAAGGCGACGATGGATGCAATCAAAATCTTAAGCAACATCAGGGCGAGAGCAAATAGCGGCACCCACAGGACGAGAAAGGTGTGTCTTATGGCGTCACTCGACGTAAAAAACGCCTTTAACACAGTGGGACACCGGGATATAATGAAAACTATGGAGGAGATGGAGGTGCCACCCTACCTCTTGAATATCACTCGAAGTTACCTTACGGAGAGAGTAGTGGAGATAGAGAAGCCAGAGGGAGGTACGCACAAATTTAGTCCAACGGCTGGAGTCTCACAAGGAAGCGTCCTAGGTCCCACACTGTGGACAATTATGTATAATGGAGTATTAGAAATAAAGACACCACCGGGCGTGACAATCGTAGGGTTTGCCGATGACATCACCATCGCTGTGGAAGATAAAAAACTTGAAGAAGCAATGAGCAAACTGCAGAGAACAATCCAGTTGGTACAAAGGTGGATGGAGAACAAAAAACTACAACTTGTCCCCGAGAAAGCAAAAGTGGCCCTCCTAACGGGGAGGAGGAGGTTAGGGGAGGTCAGCATGGACATACTGGGTCAAAGAATAACAACAGAAAAACAGCTACGAGTACTGGGGGTCGTAATAGACAAAAACGGGAGTTACATACAACACATCAGGTACGCGGTAGAGAAAGCTTTGAGAAATTATGCAGCACTGGAGAGAATATTGCCGAACATCGGGGCAAGAGAGTCGAAAAGAAGAGTAATGTGTAGTGCCATCAAATCGGTGCTTTTGTACGGGTGTGAGGTGTGGGGGGAAGCCTTAAAGTGGAGATGTGCGCGGGACCTGTGCAATAAAGTACTAAGACTCCTAGCTATAAAAACGGTCAGTGCTTACACAACGGCGGCTATGGAAGATGTGTTGGTGGTGGCGGGGATACCGCCAATCGATATTATGGTGAAGGCCAGGCTAGAAAAATGGGGAAAAGAGAAACTGTGTATGGAATGGCAAATGCGCTGGGATAGCAGAACATCATGGACGCGGAAAATAATACCGGACCTGAGAACCTGGTTAGGTAGGGAACATGGGGAGGTGAACTACACGCTCACCCAATTTCTAACAGGGCATGGCGAAAATGGATCTTATCTCTGGAGAATTGGCAAGAGAGAGAATAAAGAATGTGTGGACTGTGGCCTGCATGACGATAAGGCACATGCGTTTTTTGAGTGCCCAAGATGGTACGGAGGACGGAGGGAGCTAAACAACAACATCGGGGAAGAAGTAACGCCAATGAACATAGCCAATATAATGTGCACGGAAGAGCGAAAATGGACCTGCATTGAACAATACTGCCACAAGATAGTTAATACCAGGGAGCATGAGGGCCGAATGTACAGATAAGTAAGAACAAGAAACAAAGCGGCTAGAAGAATCCCTTCAGGTGATGCCTGGCCGTGGCGTGAGAACCATACTCGGTTAGGTTAGGTTAGGTTAGTCGTAGCTCGAGTTTCGTACCGTTTAGGACGTGTTTTAACCGAGCTGCGGCTGTTTTAAAGTGTTGGCGTGTGTTTTAATGTGTAAATTTTGTTTGGTGGTATTGTTGTGTGCGCGCTAAAATTAGCTGTTTTTGGTGGTTAAATCATTTAAATCGGACCGGTAGATCCGGAGATAGAGATTTTTAAAGCGGCCTACTCACGAGGCAATTTGCAGGGTACAATTTGCAGGGAACAATTTGTAACGAAATTGGGTGTAGACGCTACACATCCCAATTTATCAGTAGAGTTGTTGATTTCCGAGTGCGTGTAGTATCTCACCATGGCTCCCTCAAAGCGCCAAAAAATTGGTATAGCATTAGCATTAGTGACATTAGACTCTGATGAAAAGAAAAAGAGAAGAAAGTACTGGACAAAACAATGGTTGCTAAAAAGAAGTCAATTTTCTCATACAATTTTAATGAAGGAATTGGAAGCAGAGGACTTTAAAAACTTTTTACGGATGGATAGTAACTGTTTTGAAGAACTTCTTAATATGGTGGGGCCTTTAATTGCCAAACAAGACACTTTAATGAGATCCAGCGTTAGTGCCACACAACGATTAATTGTTACTTTGAGGTATCTGGCTACCGGAAGAAGTTACGAAGACCTAAAATTTAGCGCAGTTATATCCCCGCAACTCCTATCTAGTATAATTCCAGAAACATGTTGGGCTATCTACAATTGTTTGAAACACTATATAAAGGTAAGTTAAAAAAAATATATACACTTTTGATAATTAAATTTTTATTGAAATCATTTAAACACAAGATACTGAGATATTATGTCGGTATCTTCAGGAGGTGGTTGATCGAAAGTTGTTGGATGGACGACAGTAGGTGTTCGGTCGACAGGGTAAAAACTTGCTGTTTGATTTGTTGTTGGTGTCGAACCTGAAGCCAAGTATTGAAGGGATATTGGTCCCATCGAAATACTGGGAGGTGCTGAATATGAGGCTGAATACTGAGACACTCTTGGAGTAGATACAGATGCTACTGAATGGCGGGACGACGGCGATGACGAAGAATATTGGTAATGGTACGGTGTCTGGACTGCGGGATTCAATATAATTGATGCATTTTCAGTTAATTTCCCCAATTTGGCGTAAAAAATAACATCAGAAATTAATTTGTTAGCAATAGCTGATTGCTGTGGATCCACTGTACTTAACTGGAGTCCTAAGGATTTTCCGATTATTTCCCACTCTTGTTCCGTATCATCTAGTAATTTATTTGCCTTTTTCAGTACTTCTTCTTTAGCCTTGTCTAAGCTTTTTCTTTGCCTTTTAGTATTTGTCATTTTTGATGTTGATGGTATTTCCTCCTGAGTGGCTGCATTAGTTCCTGAAGCTTCTTGGTCGAGTGCATTTTCATTAGATAACTCAACAGGCACCTGAGGTGTTTCCTGAAAATAAAAATATAGTTAATATATTTTGTGTTTATATTTTATAATTTTTTTCATCATTGTTTATCACTGATTTTTTGTTCTAGATGCCAACAACAGAAGAAGAATGGAAACGTGTCGCCAACCAATTTGAAACCAAGTGGAATTTTAGTCATTGTTTAGGGGCTATGGACGGAAAACACATAGCAATACGGAAGCCACCACACAGCGGTTCTGCGTATTACAATTACAAAAGCTTTTTTAGTGTAGTACTGTTTGCTGTGGTC